TCCTTGCAGTCCAGGGGATTCTCAAGAGCCTTCTCCAGCACCACAATTCAAAAGCATCAGTTCTTCAGCAGTCACCCTTCTTTATGGTCCAGTAAAATCATATACTTTAGCAAAAGCATATGATCTTACAGGTTTTTTCCCAGTATCCAGAAGAATTCAGTATCTTAGAATGTTGTCCCCTAGTGGCCATAATGATGATTTCTATTTTACCCCAGATGGGCTTGGAGAGCTTATACCAAGCAAAACACTGCTGGTAAGGACGCAGAATTTCCTCTCCTCTCACAGGGACAGAGTATCCAGTGAGTTGTTTTTACTGTCCCAAGCAGTTTCATCTCAAAACTAGAAAAGCAGCATGTAGATCAGTTCATTAATTTATTGTCTTCGTCATTCTTTCTCAGATCTCTTAATTCCATTTGCTCAAGATGAATGTCCTTCATTCTCTATTTTGGAATGTCCCCTTGGGCATTTTGGCCATCTTTGATTGTTATCACTTGTTATCACTTTTCATTATTTCAGCATTGCTCTCATTCAGTGCCCTTTTTTTCCTCTGACTCACCTGCCTCTAGCATAACATCACTTTCCTTCCCTTGCCTTTCATTCATTCTGTGCCTATTTGTCTACCAGTCATTTTATGTTGCTTTCCCTAAATTCATGGATCTTCTCAAGTTTGTATGGGAGGGGCAGTACCCTTCCATCATTCCAGCTCAGCATAACAATGGTAAGGTTGTCTGAAACATATGAAGGGCCACCAGTTTACCTACTGCTAGGGCCAGTATCCCAGAATCCCAGTCATTCTGACAACCCCCATTACTTTTGCATCTGTAGAGTGATATTCTTCTTCAGCCAATCAGGTGAGGTCCATAAGTAGGTGGTGTAGCCCAAGTAATGAAGTCTGCTTAGATGATGATGTCCCTTCTGTGTGAAGGCTTGGCTGATACCACCTTGGCGTCTTTAGGTATGTATTTGTTTTGTGGGTCTTGATTTATCCCAGAAAGATGGGACTGGGAGGTTAGATGGTAGCTCTTTTCAGACTTCTGAGGGGCTGTCACGTGAAGGACACAACAATCGGCTTTTCTTCTGCTCCACAAAGGCATGACCAGAACTAGAGGATTGAAATGTTTTAAAAAGGCATTCGGAGGACTATGAGGAGTTGCTTATAAGGGCAGTTCAGCAGACTACCTCAGAGGACTCGTGAAGGCTTTTATGGCCGGGATCTGATGGCTGTTGTGGGTTTTTCGGGCTCTTTGGCCGTGTTCTGAAGGTTGTTCTTCCTAACATATCACCAGTCTCTGTGACTGGCATCACGACTTCTCTACCAGTCGGCAACTCGACTTCTCTACCAGATGCCGGCCACAAAGACTGGCGAAACGTTAGGAAGAACAACCTTCAGAACATGGCCAAAAACCCCGAAAAACCCACAACAACCACTCTGGGCTTTATTGGAGTTTTCTAAAACATCGGTTCTGTTACGGATACTTAGCTGTACGTTTTTGTATTGGCTCTGGGTTGCTTGACCGTATCAGCCATCAGTCCATCCTAGCTCTATGATTCTGTGATCTGAAGGAAACTTACTGACCTGTTGAACCAGACAGTAAATCCAACACTTTTTTCGTTGTAAGATAGAGAAATGTACTGGAATCTATTGTTATCCCTCTGCCTTCAATCAGCACCAGATGCAGCCCACTAATCTTCGCTGTTTCAAAGAGAATGGCTAGACAATTAGCCAGAACAATAGGCCTGCTATCTTGTAGCAGATTTTAGGAGGGGTGGGTGGGAGTTGCTTCCATTTCACAGCTCTCCAAAGTGTAAAGGGCTTGAAAAAGGGTTTGTATGAATAAGCCACATTAGGCCAATTACATCCTAGGAGTTCACAGATGTTTGCCAGAGAATGCTCACTTGAGTCGCACTTCAACAGAATCCAGGAGAAGAAAAAGAAATGATTTTTCAAGAGTTTTCCGCAATAGGATAACACTTTTGCCACAGCGCTCGTCTCCCTCTTAGTTCCAATCCAATCAGATCCAAATGGCGGATGTAAAGGGCAATTTTCCACTTGAACGAGAAATTTAAATCACACTTGTAGATTTCCGTGGAACTCTTGGGTTGCCGTCCTCTCTTCCTTCTAACATTCCTGCCAGCTTGATCTTCTTGAATACAAACAGGCATGGCTTTTAGAGAACCCAGGTTGCTTGAGACCCTCTCATCTCCAAAAATGAAGTTGGGACATTTTCAGATTGACAGTAAATGGCCAAATAAGGATGTACATAATAAAACAATCATGGGGTGGGTGGATTTTCCATTTATTTACAGTGGTGCCTCGCTTAACGATTGCTTCGTATAACGAAAAATTCACTTAACAATGGCTTTTTCAGAGTGATCTTGTGCTTCACTTAACGATTTTCCCTATGGGCAATTTTTGCTTAACGATTTTGGGACCATGCTTCACTTAACGATGACAGTTTTAGGTCCCCTTGTTTCGCTTAACGTTTTTTTTTACAGCCCCGTTTTTGCTATTTTTAAAATATTCTAAAATGTTTAAAAAATGTTTAAAATGCTTGGAATCATTAGTGCACCTAATAAAACCTTCGTTAACTTAATTTGGCTTTGTTCTGAGTCTTTTTGAATTTTTTGTGAATTTTTTCCCCCCATTGAAATAGGCTTCAATGCATTTCAATGGGTTTCGCTTAATATTTTTTTCCTATGGGGATTTTCGCTTAAGGATGGTAATCCGTTCCAATTGGAACAGATTATCCGGGTTTCAGTGCATCTCTATGGGAAATGGTGTTTCGCTTAACAATGTTTTCACATAGCGATGGTTTTTTTGGAACCAATTAAAATCGTTAAGTGAGGCACCACTGTATTTACTTTCTTTCTCCTATGAGGCTGAAGGCAATATAGGTGGGGTATCCCTGCACTTTTCATCCGGTAATGTTTGCCCGGACTTTTTACTTTCTGAATGAGAGCTTCTTCAAGTAGATTCTCTATGATAGGATTGGCCAATATCTGCTTTTCCAGTGTTTCAATAGAATCCTAGTGTTATGGGGTTTCATGGGACCTTGAGGAACATCTAGTCTAGTCTGCTGAAAGAGACGAGCTGGATTTTATCCCCTTCTTAAGGTCTCCATGTTAAAACAAAACATGTATGTGGAAAATTTGGGCCCTTTCCTCTGAAATGAAGAGCATACAGAAAGAAAAAACAGAAGAACTCATTGTTAAGAGAAGCACAAGAAAACCATCGAATGCTTCAAATTCTTAAACATCTATTATGCAAAAAAAAAAATCCTGAATATATGCAAATTATAGTTTGTAAGCCGCCTAGAGTGGTCCTGTTACCAGATAGGCGGGATATAAATAGAATGAATGAATGAATGAATGAATGAATGAATGAATGAATGAATGAATAGTTTATATAAATATATGTATATTGAGCACTTTATATAAATTGCACCATTTTGCCTCTAGTTTACTTAAAACTATACTCTTGGCATAGTGAGAACAGTTTAGGGTTGGGCCCTGCAAATTCCTCATTGTTGTTGTTGGTGTGAACACGGCAGTTCTTTATCTTCATATAAAAGGATGATACAAGCTGGGATTGGCATTCTTGTTTACCACCACTGCCAGGCAAGCCTGTGAGCAGGGCCCTGCTGGCACAGGAAGGGGTTTGTCAAAAGAGGGAAATTTTCTTTTAAATCATATCAGGATTAAATTAATGAAACACACTTGATACAGGATGACTTTTGACAATTTCTGAGTGAGTATAACTGGTCCCAAAAGGAGATAACTTGGATAACGGGCCAAAGAAAGCCACTAGGTTATTCTGTCCTGCTTTGCCCTGAAAGCATTGCCTTACCCCTTTAGACATCTCCGTAGCCTTTCTAGAAGAAGAGGAATGTGGTCTCCACAACACGGGAATTGGTAGTAATGGTGTGGCCTCATTAAGACATGCTGAGGACCTGAGCTATATCAAGTTTAGGAGTCATAGAATCATAGAATAATGAACTTGGAAGGGGCCTATAAGGCCTTTGGGTCCAACCCCCTGCTCAGTGCAAGAACACACATCAAAGGGTATCTGTCTAAGCTTCTCTTGAATGCCTCCAGTGTTGGAGCACTTGCCACCTTTCGAGGTCATTGGTTCCATTGCTGCACTGCTCGAACGGTTTTTCCTGATATTCAGCCAAAAGCTGGCTTCCTGTTATTTGAGCCCATTGTTGTGTGGCCTACACTCTGGGATGATTTGAGAGCAGATCCTGCACCTCCTCTGAATGACAGCCTGAATGAGTCCCCATAGCACTAGCAAAAAGTCATGTCAGGGACAATAGCATCTGTGTGTTTGATGTTTCACCCCAGATTCTTTTCAAAGTAGGGAGGAGCTTTGGGGCACTGGCATTAATAATAGCTCACCCACATCCTTTTTCATTTCTTTTCAGCTGTTATGTCTGTAATTTGTGTGTGTGTGTGCACACGCTCACATGCATGTGTGCGTGTACGTGCATACGTGCGTGTACACAGGTGCATTTGACAGTGTCAGCAGCTGTTATGTCTGTAATTTGTGTGTGTGCGTGCGCACGCACACGTGCATGTACACAGGTGCTTTTGACAGTGTCCACTCTGCATGGCCTGAACCTAGAGTACACTTGACTTCTCCACCTTCTCCACCAGTTCCGAAATACTCTATCCTCAATCCACTATGGCAGTGGTCTCCAACCTTGGGCATCCAGATGTTCTTGGACTCCAACTCCCAGAAACCTTCACCACCACCACCTCTGCTGGCCAGGATTTCTGGGAGCTGAAGTCCAAGAACATTTGGAGGCCCAAGGTTGGGGACCACTGCACTATGGCTGAAATTTTGTTGCTTGAAGTAGTAAATTGCACTAAAGTAAGCCCATTAACACAATGAGGATCTTGTGAGTCAAATACTTTGTAAGTTCATTGATTCAAATGGGCCAACTCTAGTTGTGACTTTCTACACGGTGAGAGAATTCCAACCAGTAAATGCCACATTAAAGACAGTGTAGGGTTCTTCACAGCTATGGAAGCAGAAGCTAGAATGTTTTGCTATAATATTCTATTTGTTCCGTTTAGTTCATCATTCAACTAAATGTAGTTAAAACGTCCTAGGACTTGAGAAGCCTTTAAAAGGGGGTTGTATTTCTGAAATGTGATAGTCATGATCAACATGCTTCTCCTCTCTTTTTTATATATCTATGAATGGCCTGTATATAATAAAGTTAGTTGTCGTTATAGAGGTATGTTAAGAGTTTCAAAGGTGGATATTAGGGAATTCTAGATGGACCAAGGTTGATTGTTCATGTGTGTATGATGTATCAAAAAAAAATACCTGGGTTCATGCTAACAATCTCCATCCTTTATCCCCTGCTATCAGATTCTTAATAGGGTTTCCTTGTGAGCAGTAAAAATCTTTACTTGTATTGGCTAATTGGTATCATTTACTATAGATGTTGAGTAAATATTTGTCCGTATTTTTTAACATTACTGCATCAGTGATCAGCATTCCAATTTCTGTGTCTGGCTTGCCTAATAACCCCATCTTTTTTTATTGCCATTAGGTAAATAATTACAGTTTAGAAGAGGTAACGCATGAAGAAGCAGTAGCAATATTGAAGAATACATCCGATGTAGTTTATTTAAAAGTTGGAAAGCCCACCACCATTTACATGACAGATCCTTATGGCCCTCCAGATATTACCCACCGTGAGTAACAATTTAACTTTTAAAAATATGCTGTTATCTGTTTCCAAGAGGTTTGTAGAGATGTCTTAGTTTGAGGATGAAGTGTGACACATAGCCCTTGATATCCGTGCTCAAATCCAGAACATGGACATGCCCTCTTATCAAAATAAAAGGGAAATGAAATTCTCATCTTCCTTATCCTGATGGAGGATGGACAGAGTGATCAATTCCGCTTCCATTGGTCCACTTCATTTTTCACAGAGAGAAATGTTCCACTTCTTTAGAAGCTAGCATGGAAACCAAGTAGGTTGACACAGAAGGGGGAGAATCTTCTGTTCATCCCCTGGAATCTCTCTGCATTTTTCTCTTGGCTTGCAGAGGAGGGGGAAGCTCCTTCTTTCATGACCAACATGGAAATCCTCTTCTGCAGAGTGGAGTGTCTGGGGCATTGACCCAGGATGCCAAAATTTAGAGGATGCCAGAATTTGCATCCTGGAAAGTCATGAACCTGTCCAGTGGTATTTGCCGCTGGAAAGGGTGCAAACCTGCCCATCTTGGGCAGGTACAATTCCTCCAACCACTCCTGCTTCAGCAGAAGAAGACACAAAACGGGCACCGACCCAGGGGTCATGTGCTCAGACTCAAGGGTTCAGCCCCATCCCTCCATCCTCTCCCCTGATATAGGGGGAGGGTTTTGCTGCCATGTTGGTCAAGCCTGGGTCTAGCAGGACCAAGGCTTGACCAATATGGCAGCAAAACCCTCGTTGCCAAACTTGCAGGTTATTGCTCTGCTCATGTGCACGAAATCCCTTGCGTTTTATGGTGACCAAGTCAAAATGTAAGTCCTCGCTTGTCTTGTATTTGTGCATGAGAAAAAGAAACTGCAGATTTGTTTCCCTTGGCAATGAGTGGGAATGTATTTGTGGTCAGTCTTAGTAGGAAATGTTTTCTCATTTATAATGATTTTTTTCCAGGTTGCACAAAATAATGAGAACTGTTGCATAGCACATGAATGTCCAAGTCTTAGAAAATGTTTGCATTTGTGAGAATATTAGTTCATTGCACTTTTTGCATGTGCAAGGGGATTTGGGGTTTGTGTGCAAAAAAAGGGAGCAAATTCTACAAACTGTGATGTCTCCTGATTTGTTGCATGGTTGTCAAAGCCTCAGAAGCATCAGATGAAGAGCCATATGCCTTTTTAAAGTAGCAGCTTTGTGGGCGTGGGTATGTCATGTACGTGCTTTGCTTCTCCAAGGAAAAAGTGTGTGTGTCTTGCACGGAGCCGGTTTGCACTGATTATGGAAACTTTGACAAAAAAAGAAAAGGGAAAAAAATCCTTCCTTTGCTGCTGCCATGCAAGAGCTGAAAATTTTCTGCTTTGTTGAACATGCCTTGTCAGCCTGTCTTGAGACAACCAATAGATGTGAATCTCTACTGTTGAGTGGAGTGTTAAATAGGAGGCAGATTTAATGAAAGAAATAGTTGTCAAGGGATCCAGGGGTGCCCTCCTATATGCAGTATGTTCTGCTTCTTTCCTGTTACTATCTCTAAGATGAATGCATGATAGTGCTGGATACCTTGTAGACTGGAAACTGGTGTCCCTCCCCATTTCCAGTGTCTTTTGGAGGCAATTACCAGCATCCATCAAATTAGCTATGCTGGTTATAGCCATGGGTTCCTCTGCTGATGGAACTTTAATTTATTGGTGGATTTCTGTTTTGGCTTCCTGGATAGCTCAGTGGTTTAGATATCCACCTCCAAAGTTGGGAGTTGGGTTGGGAGTTTGATTCCCCGCTATGCCTCTTGCAAAGTAAACCCAGCCTGTGTGGCCTTGGGCAAAGCTGCACAATTTTTAAAATTTATTTATTTCATTTTATTAGACTTTCACCCCGCTCATTTAGACCAAAGGTCTACTCTGGGCGGCATTACAAATTTAAAAAAAAACCAGTTAGCACCTCCAAAGTTGGGAGTTGGGTTGGGAGTTTGATTCCCCGCTATGCCTCTTGCAAAGTAAACCCAGCCTGTGTGGCCTTGGGCAAAGCTGCACAATTTTTAAAATTTATTTATTTCATTTTATTAGACTTTCACCCCGCTCATTTAGACCAAAGGTCTACTCTGGGCGGCATTACAAATTTAAAAAAAAACCAGTTAGACCAATAAATACTCTGGGCGGCATTACAAATTAAAAAAAAAACAGTTAAACATACACTATAAATCCAAGATGGCAAAAATGTAGAATTTAAGAGAGGGCAGGAGAGTGCTCCCAAAAGAAGGGAGTGGGAAACCTCTTCTCTACCTGGAAAACCCTGAAAAGGGTCAACATGAGTCACAACTGACTTGATGGCACATTATTATTTTTTTAAATTGAGGTTGGGGTTTGAGCTTTGAGTTAACCATTGGTTTTTTTGGGGGGGGGTCAAACTGGCAATTGATGAATGAGATTCCCATTTAGCCAAAATGATGGGTAATCAAATAAAAACAGAGTGCCGTATAAGATGCCCCCATGCATAAGACACCCCCCACTTCGCTAACCCAAAATGAAAAAAATCTAAGTAGGGCTTAGCAAATGTAGGGTAAAAAGGATCAAAGTCCTGCAAGATTGCTTTGATCCCTGCTTTTTCCCTTTGTGCTAAGCCCCATGTGGCTTAGCAAAAGGAGGGGGAAAGGGATCAAAGCAATTCCACGACTGCAGAATCGTTTTGATCCCTTTCCCCCTTACACAGCCACAGGATTGCTTTGATCCTTCCCCTCTCCTTTTGCTAAGCCCCATGGGACTTAACAAGCAGAGGGGGACGCAGGGATCAAAGCAATCCTGCAGCACTTTGATTTATTTATTTGTTTGTTTGTTTGTTTGTTTGTTTAATTTATATCCCGCCTATCTGGTCAATCATGACCACTCTAAGGCTTAGCTAGTGGAGGGGAAAGCAGGGATCAAAGCCCTGCAGGATCACTTTGATCCCTGCGTTCCCCTCCACTTGTTTTTTCCTCCTCAGCTTACTTCCGTGTATAAGACGGCCCTCAATTTTTAGTTTAAAGATATTAGACAAAAGTATAGCCTTATACACGGAAAAATACGGTAACCTCTGGCTAGGACTAATGGCATTTGCAGTCTAACCACATCTAGCGGGCCACATGTTTCCCACCTGTGTTACGTTGGATGAGATTGTCTATCTACTTTGACAACAGGCTCTCCAAAAATCTCTGCCTTGCTAACTTGACAGGCTAAGAGTATTTAATCAAAGGTGCCAGAATTCAGCCTAGACCCATATACATGCAATGCACAGCCTGTGCTAGGGAACTCTGGATCCTTCACTGATGACTGTATACAAGTGGGAATACATCAATTATCGCAGGAGTAGTAATTAATTTCTAGTCTACGGAATGTTAAAATTCTACAAGGGATAAAAACATTTCCTGGTCTTGGAACACTTGTACGAGCACATGCAAAGCCCTAACAAGCCCTGAGAATTTTATGTTGTACAATAAAACTGCAGGACTTGACATTTTCATGCTGAACATTTCAGACACAAGAGTAGGTTCCTGCAACTGAAGAGCAGGAAAGTAAATTGCATGCCAATGCAATTATGGTTAAATTAAAATACAGTATAGCAGAAGGATGGAAGGAAAGAAGGGAGGAAGGAAGGAAGAAGGGAAGGCAGGCAGGCAAAAATGCAGGTGTTGCTTTGAAATCTGGCACTTATTTTTAAAAAAAGAAAATACAGCATAATGAAAGCATGATGTTGATTCCATTTGAATGGGCCAAGCACTGCAGGGAAAAACGTTGTATGCTAGACTAGAATGCATAACTGATCAATATTTATATGTGTATTTGACTTTCAGCTTATTCCCCATCAATGGAAAACCATATACTGTCTTCAGGCAACAACGGCACTTTAGAATATAAGGCGTCTTTGGCCCCCATTTCACCGGGAAGATATTCGCCTATCCCAAAGCACATGCTAATGGAGGATGACTATAACAGGTCAGATATCTGTCTTTATTTGAGTGCCTTTGGTGGACCATTTGCTTCAGAGAACACAGTTTTGATACCATGCAGAACACCACCCTGAATGCATAGGCAGGGGACCCTGATCTTATAAGAAAGAGGCATCTCTCTACCTGTTTGCCTCTCAATATAAGCAGGGAGGAAACACTCTCACTTTAACTTTGTGGCCAGGGGTGGGTGGGTTATTTTTTACGAATAGATTATTACTAGAATGGCCCACACCCAGTTACAGTACTAGGTGCCTTTTCAATAGCCAGTGATCACTCCTACCCATCACTGGGGCTTCTTCCCCCCGCCTGAATCCTTGTTTTTTCCTCTTCTCTCTGGCCTTAAATACAGCCCCTGCCTCATTACTAGCAAATATTATGATTTTTCCGGCTGCTTACCTGTGTATTGCATTTGGCAGAACACACCAGCTCTAATTTCTGGTTTGTTCTCTCTGAGATGCAGAATCAGTTTCAAGTTGTTTCTGCTCCTCCGGCATTTCCGACGGCTGGGTGGTTGCGCAGAAGGTCACATAAGCAGCTGGAACATGTCTGATTGTTATTTTCAACCCTGTGAAGGGACTGACGCCCTGCACCCTAGAAGATATATAACAGTTTAATGTTTAATAAGGAAGTGGCTGTTGGATTTTCACATCCTTAGCCACCACCGAAGCTAGCTCTTCCTTCTGTTTTCCTCTCCTACTGGGGGCTGGGCTCACCCTGGCCATTTTGATTTTGGATGCAGCTGTTCTACCCAATGCCGATTTGCTCCATCCAAGCCAGTGTCCACAGTTTTTCAGCCATTAAGTTCTGCTCCTTCCTATACTTGTTTTCCCATTTATTTGACCTTGAATGATCAGTTGTAGCAATCTGTACTTTTTGTTTCTCATTCCTCGGTCTCTGCAGAAGCCCAGATTTCCAGACCTATGTTTGCTACTAGACATTTAAGATATATTTTTTAAATTAGTGGGCAAACACAGACACACACACAACTTGTTTTCCCATTTATTTGACCTTGAATAATCAACTGTAGCAATCAGTACTTTTTGTTTCTCGTTCCTTGGTCTCTTCAGAAGCCCAGATTTCCCGACCTATGTTTGCTACTAGATACTTAAGATATATTTTTTAAAATTAATGGGCAAACACAGACACACACGCACACACCGCGGTTTGAGACCACTGTGCCAGAAGAAGCTCTGTATTCTAGGTCCCTTGATGATATTGGCCCTAGTGACCTCTCTCTCTTTTCTCACAGATATGACTTCCCTTGGTAGGTGTGTCTCCCTGGAACAGGGATAACTGCCAGCCAGTTGGGGGGATTCTCATGAGTGCAAGAGATACGATCAATCCCTGAGACCTTATAATTCTTTTTGTTCACTTCTACCTGCTGGAAAGGGAGAAGATCTTATGCCTTCTTTTAGAATTCATTTCGGTGCTCAAGACATGTGATTCATGGGCACCAGCTTGTAAACCTGCTTTAAGTCTAGTGCTGTGTATTCAGTGTGAAACTTTCCATGTTGTTCAATATGCGCAATAAGAAACAATAGACAGTGCAAAGCTGTGTTTGAAGTGGGAGCCGGGAAGCCACTGTTGGTCTCCCCTCTTGCCTGTTCATTATTATTACTTTTATTTTGATTTTTAAATATTGATCTCATGCCTTTGCTTTTCACGGCTTTCTTGATGCTACACAAAATTGCCTTTGCTCGCTTGTGCAGTGAGTTTGTAACTTGTAGATGAGACATAATAAATAATGTGAAGCTTTGACGTTATCTCACCATAGACATTTGGCAAGGAGTAGGAATGGTTTTGAATGAGAGCTGTTTCAATCCTACGCTGCCTTACTTGCAAGAAAGTTTCAGCAAACGCAGTGAGACTTTTGGTCCGGGTTGTCAGTGTGCATAAGATTGTGTTGAAATGGTATAAAATGGCGCACCAAGCTAGGGTGGAGTGCCCATAAATTATGTGAACAAAGTTTTGCGGTCAGCATTTTTTGCAGAACTCGCCAATGCCTGCCATGCTGTTACCAGAGAATACTTCATAATAGCTCTAGAATGCTTCAAAAAATGAAGTTTGTGCCATAGGATCCAATACAAGAATGAAGCCATTTAACTTTGCTTGACCAGAGCAAAGGTCCGTTCCACTCAACAAGGTTGTTGTTACCAGTAGAGGCAAATCTTACAACTGTCAGACACAGTACAAGTTTTTGCTTGCTGTCTCCATTCATAATGTTGTACTTTCGATGACAAGAACAAGGAGGGAAGCCCATTCCTTTTTGTGTGCAATTTGCACATATAAGGTGTTGTTTCAGCCCCTGGCACACCAGGTTAAAAAAAAATTACTTTGATCACAGAGGTATCCTTTTCTTCTGAGGTGAAGGAGAGTTGTGGCCAGCCAAACCAGGCAAGACCAAGCTGGATGGACAAATAAGATGGCCTGATACAAGCCTGCCTTCTGTGTTCAAGGCTAAGGCCAACCAGTGGAGATGAACAAGCCCAATTTTGTCAATCCACTCCAGGCATTTAATCTGAACTTTAGAGGAGCTCTCCTAGGTGCTAAAATAGCTCTTCCTCAAAATAGCGTCAGCACATTCCTTAGCTCCTTTAAAGTTGAGACTAGGCCCTGCAGCAGATTCACTGTCTCCACAAAACCAATGTCATTACCCCCTCCTCTAGGGCCAGTCCTACCATAAGTCAAACTGAGGCTATTACCTCAGGCAGCAGACGCTAAAGGCGGCGGGGCCAACACCATCCTTAATACAATTCTGCCTCATGCCTTCAGCCCTTCCCCTCAGTTGGGTGATGGTGCTGAGTGAGTCCTAATCTATGGACACCGTAGATCAGCCTTTGCCGGATCGTCTCCATGATTCAGTTCACCCCTCCACTGCTTTCGCTAGTTATTCTCCTGTGTAGATTTTTTTTCCATAGGGGGAAAAAACCCAATAGCATAAATAGGGAGAAATATGGTCATCGTTGCTGCAGATTATTAGAGCTGCTTTGCACCATAACTCTGATAAGGGCTCTGTATGGCAGGCATGTTCCATGCGTGAGCTGACCACAAGTGTGATGTTGGGCCTCCCTTCTGTTAGTTTCCATTAGGAAATTAAAGAGAGAGAATGACGCCCTGTATTTTCATGCAGCCACATGTGATTTTTTGCCAATGTCATCCCAGGCATCACTCACAAAAGCCAGAGCAAGGAAGAAAGTGAGGATGAATTTTTAAAACCACTCATTCATTTGCCACATTGCTTCGATTTTGCTTCACAGACAGCTCTGCCTCCTTGCTTCTCTGTTCTCCTTCATTGTTAATATTTTGCTTCCGTGTTGTAATGTACTTTTTGGGTAACAGCTGAGACTGAAAGATCTTGTGGTATTCTTTTTTAAAAATATATGTTTGTTTTCTGGTTATACTGGGAACTTGAGTATAATCCACTGCGTTTAAAACAAAGCCATCCTAATCAAGGTAGCTAAACTAGCACATATAGGATACAGAATGAAAAGGCAGCTGAAAATGTCTTGACCGTAGCACATATAGGATACAGAATGAAAAGGCTGAAAATGTCTTGACCATAATGTTAGGGATAGGGATGGGTCCTGAAGAAGTCAGTATTACCCAAGAGTTAACCTTTAAATAAACAGAGAATTTTTGCCATGTAGAGTCTGTTGAGTCTGATGGCGCTGAACCAACTTGTGGTTCAGAGCCTGAAGAAGCTATCCAAGATTTTTTTTGAATAGGGGTTAGCTTCTTGGATAACTCTTGCAAATCTCTGACTAACACCAGGGACAGATTAATTGCTCCATGACCTTGGAGTTATCTACTTCCATTAGTGTCGATTGTAGCCATATTTTGTTATCTGTATTCTGGAAGCCATTAGGCCCCAAAGGAAGAAAACCATACACCAGTGAGTCATATCCAGCACACGAGGATTCCCAGTCCAGCCCAACCCATAGTACTCACCAAAGTGGGCCCTCTCCTGTGGCCCAAAAGTTGTAACTCTCAGTTTGCTCTTCTCTTGCCTTCCCTGAAAGGACCTTGTCCTCTAGGGCCGATGGAGCTTCTTGGACAAATCAGTTGTAGCCATATTGTGTTTACCAGTGGCCTTGTCACCTAAATATTGAAGGCTACAGCCAAGTCCATCAAATTCTCCAAAGATATGGGATAGTAAAGGAAATCAATGCAATAATAACTGCACCTAGGCTAATAGCCATTGATAGATACTTAAGGGTGAAATTCTGTTCCACCCTTGATTTCTACCTATTTAATTAAGGTCATGGTTCCACACATTCCCATCAACCCTATCAGGCACATTAGACTGAGAAAAAGTAACTTGCACTAGTTCATCCTCTATGATTTGGGGCAGAGAAATGACAGTGGGATTCCCCAGCTCTGCTCCATTGCTCTAACCACTACAGATATTAGCTCTCAGTGTCCAACTCTGTCTTGCATTATTAACCAGCCTTGGCCAGAAAGCTTGTTGAGTCATTTCCATATCAACTTTAATGATTCAGAATATTTTCTTGTTACATGTTACATGCTTTCTCTCCTGTAATAACAATTCTTCTTATACTGCAATTGCCCAAACCATTTTCTAGCCTTGAAAAATACATTTCACTCCATGTTAAGAGCTGTGTGCATGTTTTTCTGCGGTAAAATATTGCTAAATGCTTCACCTTGTAAATGTTTTTTGGAACTGTTTTTTCTTCAAGCCGATATTGTCATAAATTTATTTTATTCAAGTAATAATTCCAATTTAGTGTAGTGTGACTAAAGGACTAAATTTAGAATAAAACTTGAATTTGTTTTTCTAGGAAATATTTTAGAATCTTTATTGGTATTCTTTGTTGGATTTGAAATTGGAAAAGGAAGGTTATAGGCTAGGTCAAGAAAAAGGGAAATGAAGTCCACATGCCATTTTGTAATGCCCTACACTGAATAGATTGAAAATGGTTTTTACCCCCTCTGTACATAATTTAGGCCAGAAAGCCATTTTTAAAA